AAAAGAAAAGTCGCACTCGCTCACACACAGAGAAAAAGAAATCCCTTCTTCCCAAACGCGCCTCATGGCCTGTGTGCCGGAATATTCTCATCGGTTCCGCAGCTGAGCGGCTCGCCGGAAAGTTTGAGAAGAGCACGCGTCTCCGGCAGCTGACTCAGTGTGTTGTCTTATTACTGTTTGTAGTTGTACAAGTATCTGTTTGTGGTGAGGGTTTCTGGTTTCTGCTAAAAGATTTCAGCTTGAGAGGGGATTTTTGAGGGGGTAAAGGAAACATGTATGTGGTTCCTCCTCCCAATAGATCCGATCCGTTATCTGGATCCGCAAACGGGTCGGATGAACTCCGAGTTTACCAGACCTGGAAGGGCAGCAACGTGAGTTGTTCAATTTTCTTCCTGATAATTATTTTTTCTGATGTTGATTTGAGTGAGTATTTTCTCTTTGGTTAAAGATTTGATCTTTTAGCTAGCTCGTTCATCATTTCTTTTTGTCTGGGTGGAATTTCGTTGTTAGGTTTTGTCAGCTGGATTTATTGTCATTGTGCTTTTGCTTAGGTGATTGGATTTTACTTGGGAAGAAAACAAAAAGGAATGTCGGAATAAGGCTAGGTCTTTATTTAGCTCTCTTTGTTTGGTTGCATACATAGACTTCTTAGAACAGTTATTTTACTTCAGTGACTCGAGAAAAATATATTAAAAATGTATATAGTTAGATTTGTTGTATGAGTTCTTTTGTTTGAGATATACTATTCTTCTTTAAGGGTTGAAATTGCATGCTACCCTGATCTCACTCATATCAAACCCTTTAGTGTCACTTAAGAATGTTCCTGGGAAGCAGAGATGAGTGCGCTGATGTTCCCTCCAGCTCATTTACTTCTAGTTGAGTTCTACTGTACTGACGTTATGTTCATTATTGTTTTGAGAATCCTGCTCTGAAGCACTGATCAAAGATTCATATAATAGTTATTCATACTTATATGTGATATTGACTATTTACTTTTTTGCCCGTTACAGAAATTTTTTCTTCAAGGAAGGTTTGTTTTTGGCCCAGATGTAAGGTCGCTGGCCATCACCATAATCCTGATTGTGGCACCTGTCACTGTTTTTTGTGCCTTTGTGGCCAGAAAGCTAGTGGATGATTTTAGTGACAACTGGGGGGCATCAATCATGGTCATTGCCATTGTTTTCACATTTTATGTAAGTTTTCTCAAAGGAATGCACTTGTACAACTTTGTGAAGTAGATAGATGTCTTGCTTGATTTGTTTCTTATTCCTATTGTCTCTTGGAGGCTGGACGAAGTGAGTCTATTTGATAGGCAGAATGATACCCTTTCGCTTATCCAGAAACTTTACAGCCGGTAAGAAGGGGAGATGTTTAGCTTTGTAGACTCAGTTCAGGACTTGGTTATGAATCAAGTTTGCTGGTTGTGTTCTGCCTGTAGAGGCTTAACGTTTTGAATCTCCTAATGTCTTAATTGGGTTCGAGGTTAAAGCGTGAAAAGTTTTTGCTATTTCCTGGAGAGAATGGGTGTCATAGAACACCTTCTCCTAGCTACACCCACTATCGTACTCTGCCACCCTTATTGATTTTTCAGTGTTGGTATTTGGTCTTAGTTGTACATTGGCGATTTTAAGCTTTAATTGAACTTGTAGACCAAAAGTCTGATCTTTGTCTTAAAGGCTATCTCGAACGAGATTTTCCTAAACACCGTATTTAATTAAATATAACATTATAGCTTCATTCATAGTCACTATATCTGCGGAGAAGGGCTATAGTCAAATAACAGTAATTAACTAATGCATCCATCGTGCATGAGTTAATTATTCACTTTCTTTATTTAATTTTCAGGACTTGATTCTTCTCTTGTTAACATCTGGAAGAGATCCTGGTATAATCCCTAGAAATGCACACCCGCCCGAACCCGAAGGCTATGAAGGGAATGTGGAAGGTGCTCAAACTCCACAATTGCGCTTGCCTCGTATTAAGGAAGTTGAAGTTAATGGCGCCACAGTGAAAATTAAGTACTGTGATACGTGTATGCTTTATCGGCCCCCACGCTGCTCACACTGTTCAATATGTAATAACTGTGTTGAAAGATTTGACCACCACTGCCCTTGGGTTGGCCAGTGCATAGGATTGGTAAGAAAATTGCATGCATCTGAAAAATTGCGTTCTGGATGTGCTTCCTAGTTCCTATCTCATTTTATGAGATGTTGATCTAATTGTCACGTTTCTTTTTTTTTTTTTTTTCAAGTTATTCAGTGTGATACATGTGTGATTAAATTATACTGAAATGAGAGGCAGAAATAAACTTACAACAGTAAGTTGGAGAGTACTGAAATTATCATGCTGATATTTCTGAGTTCTGACATTTTGTTAAGGTTGGTCTTTGTGTCGAAACAACTTTACAGTCGCATTATATAATCAACCTGGCAGGAATTTGACTCTGGCTTTGCTCTAAAGTTTTAGGGAGCTAGACCAGGAAATTTGGAAATGGTTATTTGTGATTTCATGTTAGAACTTAGAATATTTATTGAATGGAAATACTTGCATGATTTCCTATTACTTGGAAAACCAATTCATGCGAGTTGTTGATGTGTTTTCACTTGTACTTGTTTTTCATCGAGTCATGAATGATTAGCACTTGTTGCAGCAGAGTTTCTTTAGCGGCAATCTCTATAATTGTGTGGATAAATTTACTCGGTCTGACATTTGTAGTGGACAAAATTTTCTTATCTTATTGTTGTATTACAACTACTTTTAGAACGAAAAGGCTGTTAAATGTTTGCTTCCTAAGAATTTGTTTTCACCATTAAAGTTAACAGTCAGGTATTGAACTGTGGTGCTGACAATACTAAAAAGATATCAGAGGCCTTTTTTCACCTTTCTCATTTATAGAATTGCAAAGGTAAAACATGTCATACCATGAACATTATCAAAGATTTTAGCATATGTGTATTCAGACGGTTGGGCTAATAGTTCTTTTGCACAGTTTTACTGCTATTTATGTCAGCATCCCGACTTTATTCACGTTGTTGTGGTTACTATATATATTATATTGCAGAGAAACTACCGATTCTTTTTCATGTTCGTCTTCTCAACAACTCTGCTATGCATATACGTTTTCGGTTTCTGCTGGGTCTACATTAGAAGGATCATGGTGAGCGAGCAGACTTCGATATGGAGGGCAATGATCAAAACTCCCGCCTCCATTGTTCTGATTATCTACACTTTCATCGCAGTTTGGTTCGTCGGTGGCCTTACAGCTTTCCATCTCTATCTCATCAGTACAAATCAGGTTGTGAACTTTCATGCTCTGTTATTCATGTACTCCTTCCTTCCATTCCAAATTATCCGTTATTCTAAAAGTTGTATGCACACAATTGCAGACGACGTATGAGAACTTCAGATATAGATACGACAGGCGAGCCAACCCTTACAACAAAGGAGTGGTTGAAAATTTCAAGGAAATATTCTGTGGGCCCACTCCCCCTTCCAAAAATGACTTCCGGGCCATGGTGCCTCGAGAGCCCGCTCGATCCGTGGGCTTCGTGAGCCCAAACATGGGAAAAGCCGGTGATGATATCGAGATGGGGCGGAAGGCCGTGTGGGGAGATGTGGGCCCTGTTTTGGACCAGCCCGAGGCCCAATTGAGCGATAATGATGTTGGGAAGGAAGGTAGATTGGGTGAGATGATGTCACCACTGGAGATAAGGACGACAGTTGATGCGCACCACGCAAAGCGGTCGAGCTGGGGGAGGAAGAGCGGCAGCTGGGAAATGTCGCCGGAGGTTCTTGCGCTGGCTTCCAGAATGGGGGAGACGAGCAGTAATGTCCGGTCAACAGACCCCAAGTTGTGACAGCCGATGGATGACAAGGTTTGTGTGCTTTTTCTAATCATTAAATTAATGTGTGCTGCCTGTGATATGAAGAACAAAAAAAAGAGAAACATGATTGCTGTTAATGGAGTTTAGTTTACTAGTTTTTGGCTTCTCATTTTATTTGTGGCTGCCAGCGTTGTGACTATTGTTGTATTGTTACCTTGTTTGTGGTGTGGTGTTTCTTTTGTTGCTTCTGCTCGGAAGTTGATTGTGAAATACTTGTGCCTTGTCNTCCCGTTACGGTACCATTCCGTTGGGATTTGTAACCGTTAGATCATCAAGTAACCGTCAATGATAGTTGATCTAACGGTTACAAATCCAACGGAATGGTTCCGTAACGAGATTGTAGCATTTTCCTATAATATAATGTGTAAAATTATTAGGCAAAAAACTACTCAATATTTTTTTACTACTTTATAGTATTCAATTGTAAAAGGCAGATTAAAATTAAAACAAATAAAAGAACATTATTGGTGATGGTTAGACAGACAGACTTGTCAAACTCAAACGGTGAGCCAACCATGAATTCAATCCACCACAAGATTTGAATTCCAAAGTACCAAGGAGCCTTTTGAAGGCCCACTTACACGTTCCGTTTTTTTGGACTGTTCTTTATAAACCCAAAAACATGTGGTCCATTTTATTTCATTTTACTCCATCCCCCGAAATATTTCGACATGGACCTTTTGGGACTATGGTTTTGAATTGCTCCTCCCAATCGAACTTAATAATGTGATTGTTTATTACTTATTACTACTGTAAACAATAATATAAAATGAATGCAGATGCAGATTGAGATGCGGCAAAAAATTGAATAATGCATTAGGTGGTGGAACATTGTTTAATCTTATTTTAGCTGAATTATTATCAAATTAGGGTGGTCATTGATTTTTTTTTAATTGAAGATATATTTTTTTAATACAATAAAAACATCTCTTATTAAGTTTAGATCTAGCATTATTTATTATTGTTTTTTTCTCAATGAATGTATATATTTTAGGTGCCAAATACATCAATTATTAGTACTAAATATATAAATAAATAAAAAGGAACGGATAATGTGAAGGACTCATAGCTGGCGACACCACAGCTACACATATCTTGGGAAAAGGGTCAGAAAACATGTACATTTCATTAAATATAAATTTTAAACATGACGTTGCGAACGGCTTCTGACAGATGGCTGAGTTTTCATTGCGCAACAAATCTAATCCATCGTATTTCTTCCGTGTCTCCACATCATGTTTTCTCACCTAATTCTTTTTTCTTTTCTTTTTCCTATTTCAAATGTTATCCTGTTAGTTACATATGTGAAGAGGGCTGCTATACTCCTTAGTCCTTACAAATATCTATCATAAGTCATAACCCTTCGTTTGAGTTTGTTAAACGAAATGTGTTGTTTTAGAGTGTTTGGCTCGTTTATATAAGTTGAGTTCCAGCTCGATTCATTAATACTCGTCAAATTTGATAAATAGAAAGTTCAACCTAATTTAACATAATTTGGTCCATTAAAGCTCATTAATTAGTTAAATTTAAGTTTCTTTATCGACTCATTTACTTAAAAGGGTTAATTTAAATTCGACTCGATTCATTTATAACTCTAATATATAATTTGGTGTTTCCATCACTCTCTAGCTTCCACGTTCATATACTTTCCTTAATTTTATGATTTCAGTTAGTTTATAAAAGCATAATTCACTTAATTTATACGTGACATGTACTTAATTAAAGACTTGTCAGTGATTAATATCAGTTGAATAATATTACAACCAAATATTAACAATGTAGCGTGTTTTTACCCGTGAGTATCGTCCAATATTGACCTTTTTCTAATTGGAATTGTATTGTATATAAAACACAACAAATAATAGTCCAGTTTGAAGAATAATAATGCTTAAAATTAACTATTTTTCTTGTTTTTGAATAGACATGTGAAAGATGTGTTGAGTTTGAGATAGGTTCGTTTATCAATTATCAATAATGTTAAGGAGCCAACTGTTGATTCTGTTACGGAGCCAACAACGCCACATGGAGTTGTCCCATTGACTGTTGGCTCCGTAACAAAGCCAACTTCATAACGGAGCAACAGTTGGCTCCTTAGCATTACTGTATCAGTTATATGCATAAAGAATCTCTATCTTTGAATTCATCAATCGCGCCACGAACGATTTTTTTTATTTAACATTTTTTTTTTTAAGTCGAGCTTACGAGCTTCTAGTTTCGTTTACAATATCTATTTTTTTCAAAGGTATACTTACAAAAGAATATCCAAAGCATAAACCGGATTTAAGCAAAGGAATATTCCATGATCCACTGCAGGGTCCATAAATACCTCTCCTTCAACGTCCAACAAATTCGACAATTCCAATTATATTCCCGTCTTCCTCATCCCTTTGCTCTCTGAAAATCTCTTCAACATCGTCAATGGCTCTCAAAGCCGTCCACGTCGCCGACGTCCCCAACCTCGATCACGTCCCCGACAATGCATCCCTCTGTTCTCCCCGTTTTTCCGGCGGTAAATGCGATCGATCCGTGCAGTTGATATTTTAATTTTTATATTTACTTCCTGTTGATTATTTTGTCCTTTACGATTTCTGATTGTTGCTTGATTTTCTGGGATGGGGTTGTTAGGCGTGGGCGTTGGGAGGGCGACGTTGTTTAAAGAGCCGAAATTTTTGCTGATCGGGCACAGGGGGAATGGGATGAATGCGTTGCAGTCGTCGGATTTGAGGATGAAGGCGGTCAAAGAGAACACCGTCCTCTCGTTCAACACCGCCGCGAAATACTCAATTGATTTCATTGAGTTTGATGTTCAGGTATGCGACTCGATTTTCTGGTGGCCGTGTTGTTCTTCAATGTTCGTTAGCTCAGTTGGTGGTGTTCGTAGTTTTCCGGTGGATTTGAAAAATTTATTGTGTTTTCCTTTTGTCTGAAAAAAAAGTCGCAGCGGTCATTTTAGGTTTCTTCTCGCCGCGTACCGGCATACTATACGACGTCGTTTGATTGTGTTTTCTAATTTTAATCCCTTAATTTAAAAATCGATTTTGTCGACAGAATTAATAGTTACCGCTTTCAGATTTATTCATCAAGATACTGATTGGTTTGCTTTCTGCGTTTTTCTTTTTTCTTCCTCTTTCATCCTTGGAATGGGACTTCTATGTTTATAGTCTAGCTCTCGAATCAATGAGTACTAATCTGTACTTTTGAGACAAGAGTCTTAGACGGGAGAGTGAAAAGAACGAATCTGATTTTTTGTAGGTGACAAGAGATGGTTGCCCCATCATTTTCCATGACAACTTCATCTTCTCCCAAGACAATGTAAGTTCAACTTTTTCTGATTTCAATTAGTTTTCTTGTTTGTTCAACACAGATAGATAATTGACATTATTGATGGGAATGCTTGAGTAACAAATTATTTTCCGCTGAATGTTCTTTTTTTTTTTTTGTTCTTGTGTAATCTGTACAAAAAGTGAAGAAAAATGTTGTTTTTGAATCAATAATTCTTCTGCTAATCATATAAAATATTCCGAATGCTTAAAATTTGGAATTTCAGGGGACAATCTACGAAAAGAGAGTCACCGAACTATCTTTGTCCGAGTTCCTCAGCTATGGTCCTCAGAGAGAACCGGGTTCAGAAGGGAAAACCCTGTTGAGGAAAACGAAGGATGGAAAGATAGTTAATTGGGATGTGGACACTGATGATCCTGCCTGCACACTGCAAGAGGTTTTCCAGAAAGTGGTACCCTCAGTTGGGTTCAACATCGAATTGAAATTCGATGATCACATTGTTTATCAGCAGGAGTATCTTAATCACGTATTGCAAGCCGTATTGAAAGTTGTATTTGATCATGCCAAAGAAAGGCCTGTAATTTTCTCGACTTTCCAACCAGACGCAGCCCTGCTTGTTAAGAAGCTTCAGAAAGCTTACCCAGTGAGTTTTGGCTGAAAAAAAACCCAGTTCTTGACTATATTATTATAAGACTGCATTTTGATGGTATTAATTAATATTTTTCGAATTTTCTTATCATCATTAGGTGTTTTTCCTCACGAATGGTGGGAATGAGATTTACACTGATGTGAGAAGAAATTCTTTGGAGGAGGCCATTAAATTGTGCACGGAGGGCGGCCTACAGGGGATTGTCTCGGAAGTCAGGGGTATTTTCAGAAATCCAGGCGCAGTAAACAGAATCAAAGAACTGAAGCTCTCTCTACTGTCATATGGCAAATTGAAGTAAGTTAGCCTCCTATTGTATTACAGTGCCTATAATTTGATTATCTGGTAATAAAAAGTCCTCTTTTTGTTGTTTTCT